CTTTTGGGGTGCAACAAAGTGGATGCGTGAGGAGGAGAAAACTGAGAGGTTTGTCTATGGGACTTCACTTTTGGGATGCAACAATGTCTTGTGTGTAATTTAAAGATGGGGAAAGGAGAGGGACTGTTGTCGGTTAATTAGAGGAGAAGTAAAATGAGGGGTATCTAAGGTCCCAATCTGGTCCCAAAAACGCGTCTCTATAGAACTGACATTTATGCCTTCCTTTTCTCGCTCACGCCTCTGTAGTCTGTAGTCTTCCCTTCTCTCTCTGGATTTACAAATATAGACATTAGACATGCTGTGGAGTGAAGCCAAAAACCATCATAGGAGGAGGTACTTAAAGAGAGACAGGTGGCATAAACACAAAAACCTGCCACTCTTCTTGCTCATAAATAAAGTCCAGCAGGAAAAGAAAAGAAAAGAAAAATCTTGTATGGGATTGGCCAAGCAGGTAGCTAGCTAGAGTTAGTTCTTAGTCCCCTTGATCAAAGTACGTATATATAGGTTTTTGCTCATTGAATCTAATAACTCTTTAGACTGAGATTCACGTGATTTTTTACAATTTAAAGTCAGATTATTAGTAAAAGTAAGTTTTAGTTGGCATTTATATACCATTACTTACTTGGTAAATACTTATTTTTAATCTTTTATTTTAATAAATTTATAGGTTTTAATCCCTCACTTTATACCATGATACTTTTAGTCCCTCACTTATACAAATTGCAAAATATAACTTTTATTTAGTGTTCTGTTAACTGATTATTAGTCACATTAGTTAACCATTAGCTCTGTTAGCTGACTGTTAGCATTTGGTTATAGAAAATATGAAATTTAATTTCAATTTTATTTGTTAGTTCGTTAACAGAATACTAATAGTCAACTAACAGAATTAATAGTCAGTTAATAAAACTAACAATCAACTAATAGACCTAACAAAATGTTATAATTTGACATTAAGTAAGAGTTATTTTTTTCAATTCGTATAGGTTATGGGTTAAAAGTATCATAATATAAGGTGAGAAACTAAAATCTATAAATTTATTAAGGTAAAGGGTTTAAAGTAGGTTTTTGCCTAATTACTTGTACATTACTTTGCTGATTATGAAATTGTATAAATTTATTAAGGTAAAAGGTTTAAAATAGGTTTTTACCTAATTACTTGTACATTATTTTGCTGATTATGAAATTGAAAATGTCACTATTAAAACTCATAAGATTATTACTGTTGTTGTTGGTTGTCTTCCTTTTATATATATTAAGCTGTATAATAAGAGATGATATTTTTTATATTTTTTAATTTATTTCATTCATACGTCATATTATTTAAATTCAAAATTTTTTATTTTTATTATTAAAAAAAAAATCATTGAGCGGTTCTTTTTGAGTGAATATATTGGCATAACCAATAACCAATAAGAAATGGAGGGAAGAGAAAGTGAAAAAGCAATTGGGTTTGGCTCAATCTATTAATCTCCCCCTTCCCCACCACCACCTCATGACCTTTAATTAACTTGCAGAACTGCAATAGCAGGGGGATCAAGAAGTCTTCCCCACAACTTTAATTAACTTACTGTATAATTGCAGAAGAGAGTTCATCTCTTCTTTCTTCTCTCTCCTGTTTCTCTTTGTGGGTTTTGTTGAGTAGCAATTAAATTATAATGAATGGGTGGGGGTATAGGGGGGGGGGGGGGGTACTTCTCAGGCCTCAGGCTCAGAAGAAGGGATGAAGAATCTTTTAAGCAAAACAGAAACGTGAAAGAGTAACAGTAAGAGGAAGCCTAAGAAGGCATTGAGCCCAAAATTCTGAAAGAGATGAGACATGGAGGGCTCACTGCCACGGTATGTGTCCATCAATTAAAAGCCGGCTTTGACAATAACACCTCATATTAATTAATAACTACACCTCCAAAAGATGTCAAAGAAAGGGGGCTTTAATTCTTAACCGAGATCTTGGATCTTGTAAAAAAGAAAGAAGGGATGATGTGTGTGGATTTGTGCCCCTAAAATTCTTCTCTTCTGTTTTGTCCTTTGGTATGGCTGGATAGAAAGAGAAAAACTTGCACTTTCTGAGTAGGCCTACATCTACGTGTCTAGATGCCATTTTTTTCCTCTCATTCTTGGGCTTGTTTTTGTTTTCTCTTTTTCTCTTACACCCAATTCAATTCCCACTCCAAACAAATCTAGAAAAGTAGTGTCGACTCTATTAAGTCATTAAGACTATGAATTTTCATATTAAAAAATTTATTTAACCCTTAAGTTTAAATATTAGAAGAGGAGTTGGGGTTGTGATGTGTACTGTTTCTGTGCTTTTTACTTTGTTTCAAAAATATATATATTAGAAGGAGCGGTGAGATATTTGTAAAATATAAAGTTATTTTATATTGTGTAATTTATTATTAAATATATTAAAAATATATATTTAATAGATTTAATTCAATTCTTGAAACCCAAAGACAAGCATATCAAATTCACAACAATTCTCCCCTATTCTAACGTGAGTTGTGATAGGCCCTCTTGGTAATAACACCATGCCAGATTCTAAGAATTGTATACAATTCTGGGTAAGTCTTCTCCGCATTGAAACACAAGATCATGGCATTTTTGGGTCAATAAAAGTAGGAAGAAAGATTCCTGGAGTTATTAATTCAACCTTTACCTTCTGTACAGATCATGACAATGTGTTCTGGCATGCACGGTTAAGAAAAAATTGGAGCTTGTCTTTGAATGTATTCTGCCGACCTGAGTTTTGAAAAACTTTACCCCAAAGATAAAATCAGAAACTAGCAGGCATTGAAAAATCAGAATGGGGGACCCTTTCCCTGTTTCATTCAGATTTCAGAACACACGGTACCCATAAAAAATACGGAAATTTGTCATTTCATTCCAGTTCTCCATTTTTTACGAGATATCTGAACAGTGAAGTGTGATGTCTCAGTCTAAGATTAGGGAACTGCTTCATGATTTTGACATAAACATTCGAGAAATTCACCAAATCAGGCTTTTATTTGAGTCTGTTGGTGATCTATTCATGTTTCATACTCATTGCAATGCCAAGGGTTAAGGAAAGCAAAATGGGTGCCATTTTTCCTGAAAAAAGGCGCCATTTGAGTTTGGACTTTGGCACTCGTAGGAAAACAAGAGGGTAGAAATAGCCATATGGATCAAATCTCACTTATCGCTCAAATGTAACCATCAGCTATGTAGTTTAGTAAAAAAAGTTACTTATACTTTTAATTATAAGTGTAGAGTTCAATCTTTAATCGTTATATAAAATAAAATAAAATAAAATAAAAACGAACAGAACCATGCGAATATTTGTTGCCCTAAATACTTTTCTGTTCACATAGGATATTTCAGTTTTAGAATTGCCAAAAATTAAGACATTTTAACAATTAAAATATCTAAAATAATAATGAAAATATTTAAATACCCATAACAAAAAAATAATTTCACAGGTAGTCTTTAACATCTTAAATGCCTATATGACGTCCTGACTTTTACTTTTTGCATCAATTCTAGATACTCACCCATATAGAAAGATAGAGATCATATAGCTATATATTAAGCAGTTATAAAGAAAGTGTAATCCAAGAACATTATAAACTACATGTGGTCCTGAGGATTATGAAAAAATTTAGGTCTGCAAACAAAAGGCAGAGGAGAAGAGAGATGCTCTAATGGCTATGCCATATCATAGGACTATCTACGTGTGGGGGTGAGAGGAGAGTGGCCGAGGAGAGGAAGTAGCTCAACTTTGCTAACTGTCCAAGAGTACGTAAACATTGATTAATATTATTAATATAAGGGCAGCAGCGCCGATTTGTGGGGTCCCATAACCTGAATTTTCAACTACATTACAAGTATTAATGGGGGCAAAGAAGGAAGGCCATGGGAACGTTACAACCTAAAAAGCATTTAAATTTTGCAGCTTAGTTTGATTGGCTTATAAGATGAATAAATATTGCACTATTAAGTTGGCATGCAAAGTAGAGGACACTGCAAGTCAAACAGAATGCACAAAAGTGCACCCTTTTCCCCTTATGCACGGTTCAAGTCGTAGTTTAAAGAGTTGTGACTGATTAAAAAAGAATAACAATAGTGTTCCATACGAATGATGAGAGCTATAAATGCTCAATTTTGAAGCCTCATTTCTATTTTTTTTCTTTCTTTTTGGTATATCAAAAAGTAATCTTATTGATATTGCAGAAACTTAGAACTCTTGATCTTGAATCATTTGTAGGTAAGTTTTAAGCCTTTTTCTGTGTCTGTCAGTTTTCTTCTCTTTTCTTACAACAATTAATTCACTTAATGAACATGAATCATTTCCAGAAGACTTGATACGGATACTGTCCATGCCTAGTCTTATCAGAGGAACCAAGGATTCCACACTAGTGTTTGCATAAGCTATTAAATGCCATTCAGTTAGTAAGCTGGGGGTCTAAAATTTGGAATGAAGAGTGATTCAGTCAAAAGCAAATAAGGGTTATCTTATATTATATAACTCACTCGTAAAAAGTTAAATTATATATTCCCTGCTAACAAGGGAGACAAAATCAGTTATTTTTGTAAATTGAAGCCACAATTAGAATGAAAACAATCAGAAACGATATTTTTCAACGCAGTGGGTAAAAGCAGTCACGAGACTCATAACTCTGTCCTGCTGGTCCAGCATAAAGCATTGCCTACCACAAACCTCTTCATTTGCTTCAGAAGAGAGCTTCATCCATGGACCAATCTTTGGGCAGAGGAAAGGGTACCATAGGTCCAACAATGTCAGAATTTAAACTAGGAATCCAATTTCGAATTAGTCTTTGTAGCAGCTTTGCAACCAAACCAATCGAAGACAAGGCCAACCTACCTATGGAAGAAGATCTAACCTAGCATATGACAAGGCCAGGTAATTTCAAAGTCATGAGAAATGTATCTGTTCACTTTCAAAGAAAATGGGTCTATTCTCTCTTCTAAAGACTTCCTAATTCCACGTTTCAAAATAAAATAAGGTTAAATCCCCATTTGGGTCCCTGAACTATTGTACGGATCCTAATTTGGTCCTTGAACTAAAGAAATCCCTAATTTGGTCCCTAAACTATTGTACGGACCCCGATTTAATCCCCACTGTTTATAATTTGGCCTAAGCTGGTCTTTAAACTATTGTACGAACCCCCAATTTGGTCCTTACTGTTTACAATTTCACCCCAATTTGGTCCTTACTGTTTACAATTTCACCCCAATTTGGTCCATGAGCTATTATTTAACAGAAAGACTTAGTTGGAGCTAAATTGGTAAACAATAAGGACCAAATTGAAGATCCATATAATAGTTTAGGAACTAACTCGGGGGTCCATACAATAGTTTAAGGACCAACTCAGGGGTACATATAGTAGTTTAAGGACCAAATTAGGTATTTCTTTAGTTCAGGGACCAAATCGGGGGTCCGTACAATAGTTCAGGGACCAAAATAGGGGTTTAATCATAAAATAAAAGCAGAATAAATGAATTGGAGGACAGAAAATAAGCACAAGATCCACCATGTACAACCACAGATGTCAGGAAGATGCCATTAATTTCATATTTTTATAAAGTCGTGAGAATTATTAATTATATATAAATAAATGTGACGGATTTATCGTGGAATTATGAGCTTCATATATAGACATAATCCAAACAAACAAGCTTATCCTAAAGCATCAAGAAAAGCAAAATTCAATAATACTGCGATCAGTAGATTGAAGAAAGAATTGTACCTCCTTTGCATCACAACTAAGTTATTAAATTTTTAGCAGAAGGAGCCTGGCTAAAACAAGGTGATAGACCCAAGCATATTCAACTAATCCTATCTGCACAGGTATAAACAGCAGAGACAAAACTGGATCAAGTGCGTGGAAATGAAAATTACATATTCAAAGAGGACACATACCTACTCCAAAAACCAAGTAAGATGATATTCTCTAACATCAAATGCCTTCAGAAGTATAAGCTGTAGGAGGACCCCATACAGAATTCTTCGGGATGATTCACAATAGGGACAACAATTGACATGTTACGGGCTACTTCAGAAACCCTCTTCTTTTACGTTGTTTTATATCATTGGGGATAATGAAAACAGAATCCACACAAAGCCCACCTTTTGAATGCGTGCAATCTATCTGTTTCATAGAAAATCTGACTTCGGTTGCTGGTTGTGAGTCAGTAACAACAAACTCACCTACTTTATACTCTATCCAGCATCCACGTTTATGGTTTCCATTCACATCATCTTGCTCAGTATCATCCAAACAACACTCAGATGATGCTTGTTGACAATCAGCTGTAGTCAACTCAAATCGTACAGGCTTTATGTCCCAGCCATGGGTATGCTCAAAATTGCACACTCGCCTTCCCAACCTCTTGGAAAATCTTCCAAGATGAAGCCTGAATGACAGAGTGTAGACACCAGGAGGGAAGGGGAACTTCACCACTCCATCTACTTCAAACCACCAAATTTGCTGTAAATAGGCCACATTATTGAATCTGCAAGAAAAGCAACACAGCACATGTCAAATTGACACTGTTAACAAAATAAAACCTAGCTGATATAACAGACAATTAATCATTGAATGGAAAAAAATTCTGATGCCTACTACTTAAAGCATGTTGGGAATTCAATATTGTAAGAAGAAATCCAATTCTAAGAAAAAGAGTAGCAACACAACATATTATGCAACCAAGAACCATAATAATGGAACACATATGAAAGACAATGCTTTCATATCCACACACACAAAGTTTCATAAATGAAGCAACATAAAGAAAATTAGAATTCCATGTATAGGTATAGGTATGGATTGATCGGTACAAATCCTTGAAATCCAACCTCTAGTAGTAAACCACATCATACAAGGAACTAAATGACTACATTAATAAGGTTTTTGCTCAAGACAATTATTAAGAAAAAGAAGATGAAATCATTCAAGATATTCCCCAAAGCCATCTTTCTACATCAATCGACATCCACAAGAATGCATATATTTGATATCACAAATTTGTCTACCTAAACACGTTAGAAAACCATAACAATAATTTGCAATCCAAACTATGTATACTGTCAGCTGCATAAGCATTCAACTCTGCCAGAAAACATAAAAAAGAAAAGGCAAATAGCAACCATAACTAGCAACTGCATATGTGTAAGTTTGTATAAAGGTGACTTTTGAGAGAAAAAGAACAGACAAGGATTTTAGGCTACATCAATTGCTCTTATAATGAGACAATAACAATACAATTGGTATCAAAGGCAGTGGGTAAAGTAAAATGTAGGGTCAAGCAAAGTAACCAATGATAAAATTAATGAAGGAGAACAAACTTGAAGCCTGCATGAATAATATGTATACTTTCTACCAGAACTCTTATTCTCAGGACACTTCTGTGAAGATGCTGTCGAAGTCAGGATTAAATACTGTCTTTATAAAGGATTTTGGGGCCTTATCAGAAAGCAAATGCTCACCTACATTATGTCTCCCAACCATTAGACAAAGAGAAAAGAATGGAGTCAATGGACCTTCCTTGGAAGGAACTGAGACTTTCATAAAAGAATTAGAATGAGAAACAATTGGATTTATGTTTGAGCACAAAAGACAAAGAATATGTTCAACAGGATTTATGTGCTTGAGAGAATAACTTAAGTGTTTAGAAAAAAGGTGCAAGTAAGGATACAAACTTTTTCATTTCTTTTATTTAAGGATATAAACTTTTCAAGTTTCTAAATTAGACAGTAAACTTTCACTTTTTTCTAAACAAGTTTCACTTTTTTCTAAACAAGGAAAGGAACTTTCTGTTTTTTATATTTAAGGATTTATTGGATGGCGATGATGATGTGGCGAAAGGGCAATCTTAATTAGAATAGGGTGTAGTTTGTATCCTTTAATTGAAAAAAGAGAAAGTTTACTGCCTGATTTAGAAAGCCTAAAAGTTCATATCCTTAAATAGAAAAAATGGCAATGTTTGTATTTCTATTTGCACCTTTCCTCTAGTTGTTTAGGACACCCATGCAGCAATGAAAATGCTAGCACATGCAAGAACAGGTCAAGAATTAAATGAGATGTTTAACTCACTGCCTTCTACATAGAGTAAAGCAACAATAAGATGAGAAACAATAACAACTTTTTCGACTCTTTGAATACGGGATTGACAAGCCATTCATGTCATAGCACTCTAATCAGTTTTGAAATAATCAGTTTAACCAAAGCCCTCTAATCAGTTGCATGGCAATTGCTTCTCATAATACTTCAACAATGGAGAATGTTAACCCAAGAACATCTCAAATAATTGGTGCTTCCACAGCAAAATGAATCCTAAGACTAACAAGGTAACAACCATCAGTTAGCAAAAGATACATAGAATCATAATTGAAAAATAAACATCACTTCAATGTGCCCTGGATGTTTTAAAAGATTCTGAATATCTCCTAAAAAATTCAGCAAAAGGTTAACTTGCACCAGCAGCACCTTCAATTTACCAACATTTAGTCAATTCCCTGATGTAAAAGGTACAACTTCATCAAATCAAACAATACTTCTGTCACACACTTTTCCAAATCGCTAAATAGACATGAAATGGAAACCAAAGGCAATATCATCTATAATCTATGAGAGAAAATAAAAAGATTCTGTATAGCAGGATCGGAAAAGCACAACTAAAGGCCTTATATGGAAAAGCAGCAGGGGATAAAACTTTACATGATTTTGGTCTTCTCATATCATGCATGTTAACAAATATAACAAGGAAAAGCAACATAAGCTTCTAAATCCAGTTACTGAGCATAATATCAATGAGAAAAATCTATTTATACAGATACACACATTTACACATATGCAATAGAAAATAAAATGCAACAAGATAAATCCTTCTATTTGATCCATATAAAAGTAAAGTTAACAAACAGTTAGTGCAATTTTGTGCTTCTCTAAGTGTCAACATTGAATTTTCTTTATAGAAGTGGTAATGAATGAAATGTTAGTAAAAAAACCACTTTTAACATAAAATGGTAGAACTTTTAAATTAAGTTTAAGTCACTGCCAACAAGTTCTAATAACATAGTATCAAACATCATCATATCTGACCTAGATTCTTCTGTCGGAATCCAACTCCAATATCTCCGATCTTCAATGCCTGTTATCAACATCCCCTTTGCAGATATACCCATGCAAACCCTTCCTGTCACTGTATCCAGCCATACTACCTGCAAACCCCCATTTCAATCAATAATAATCTACTGAAACCTGTTTTGACATCAAACGAACCAAATTAAAGTAACCAAAACAAAGCAAACAAAAGAGAACACTCAAAATCTTAATAACCCCATTATCAAAGACCGTCCCAAAACCCCACAGAAGAAACTCCACAAAAATGATAACAGAATAAACCTCAAATTAAAATTTTCCAACAATCAGAGTACCCTACCATTACCGACAACAGAAAAAACACCGAAAACACCCATTCCAAATTGTCTCCTAGAGACAGCAAAACCAGCCCAATCAACCCCAAACTAAATAAAATTTAAGAAAAAAAAAA